CCGCCCGGTGGGCGCGCTGCTCGCCGCGCTCTGTCAGTTCGGCCTCCTGCCGCTGCTGGCCTTCCTGCTGGCCCTCGCCTTCAAGCTGGACGAGGTGGCCTCGGTGGCCGTGCTCCTATGCGGCTGCTGTCCCGGCGGAAACCTCTCCAACCTCATGTCCCTGCTGGTGGACGGCGACATGAACCTCAGGTACCGCGCCAGGCGCGCTGACAGCCGTGGGCGCCGAGAGAAGGAGAGGGAAGCGCAGGGGCTGGGTGAGGTGTGGAGGAGAAGGGGAGGAAATATGAACGCCGGGGCTTCAGATGGCGGGATGGACGGGAAACGCTCGTGTGGCCGGGCTCAGGACCGTCTGAGGCAGAGGGGCCTGAGTGCCACCGCGGCGCAGTCACCGGAGCGGCGGGGGGGGCGGGCGGGGGGGGAAGTCACCGGAGCGGCGGGCGGGCCGGCTGTGGGCGCTGGTCTTGGGCCACTGACAGCCAGAAAGAAGGGGGAAGTCTGGAGCTAGGACTGCCGGAAATGTAAAAGCAAATTAGGGCTACTGGCCCAATAAAGAGCGTAATCTCATATAGAGTGCAACATAATCGAGTTTAATTCAACAAGTAGCATCCAGCAGCTTTTCCACGTCTAACATTGCAGGGTTCTTAGGAAGATTAACAGGAAAAGAAAAATGCCCCGTCTTCAGACTCTTCCAGACTCAACTGGCTTTACAAAGGCCAGTGCAGCAGCTCTGAGTGTTTGTTGTTTCTGCCGCCGGCTCATTTTTCCATTGGATTTAGGCTCTGCTTTCTCGGTCCGCTGCTGTAATGAAGTAGATTCTCCCCAGACTTCAAGCCAGATGGATTCAGAGGCTCTCCGATGCCCCTGTATCCAACATGAAGGAGAAGGTCGCTGGCTCTTTGGATGAAAGCCCGTTCTGAATCTGTTCCTTCTTTTCTGCAGCATCATCATGACCATCTCCTCCACACTTCTGGCCCTGGTCTTGATGCCCCTGTGCCTGTGGATCTACAGCCGGGCCTGGATCGACACCCCTCTGGTGCAGTTGCTTCCCTTGGGGGCGGTGACCCTGACCCTCTGCAGCACCCTCATCCCCATAGGGCTGGGCGTCTTCATCCGCTACAAATATAATCGTGTGGCTGACTACATTGTGAAGGTACGGTCCCCTTCCCTTCCAGGTCACCTAGACATCCTTGGTTGCTGCCCTGTACTGAAAGGATAGGAAGTTAGGGAAAGAAGGGAAAGGAAGAAAAGGACTTAGCTACACTTCCATGGGTGAATTTTAAGTTTATGAAACACAGATAATGTTTACCTTTTGGAAATTCTTGAAAGATAGATCTAATTGTGACAGCTTAATTTAAAACAGCATTAGCAGTCTGTCAGTACTAGTGGGTAGGAAACAGGTCATGGGGAGGGTGAGATGACCAGTAACCTTTTCCACTGTGTATTTATTACCAGAAATCAAAATAGATTAAACAAAGTTATCTTGCAGAATTTGTAGTATTTTAGAAATGCGTTACTACGTTTTCAAAGGTGGAATTCTAGTTCTGAGAAATCTTGTAGTAGACTCCTTTAAAAATGTTGTGCTTTGTTTGCAGGTTGGGGATTGAACCCAGGGCCTTAGCAAATGCTAGGCAAGTGCACTACTAGTGAGCCACACCCCAAGCCTCTTCTATTAATTAAAAAAAAAAAGTAATTGAAAAGTCATTCTGTGGCAATAGAGTAGAATACACAAAATACTGGCCTGAAAACATAAAATAAAATTGAGTCCTGAATAATATAGATTCTATTGTGATTACTAACATTTCAGTGTTTCTTTTTCCTTCCTTATTTCATTACTTTATGGTTTCTAAAAATAGTGAAATAAAAAGGGACTTCTATTATTTCATGCACTATTTCAATATTGTTTTGTTTTTTAAAAACCTTTTTTTTGTAGAAGTAGTGATTTTGTAATAGTTGACAGGAGGGAAAAAATCAAATTTTTGTAAGTTAAACTTTTCTGAAAACTCAGAAATGGTGAGAAAGTGTAAATCATGAACAGGATGCCACTTTAGGAAGTTAGTCAAATAAAATACATAATTATCATAAAATGCAGAAGTGAGTTCCTCTAGATAAATGAGAAAAAGGGCCATTCCAGTTCATTGAAATATATATGTATATATGTATATATATTTTACTTATATAGATTTAAGATATAGTTTTTTGCATTTCACTTATTTTTTTTTAATCTGATCATATGGAGGAACTTTTATGAATATGAAAAATAGAGGGTTCTTTTATGGACATAAATCTAAATTATTAAATCTAGTTCCACAATAAACGTGTATATGAATGTAATAAATATATGTGAAAGTGTAAATATACATATTTTATGTAATATACCCATAGATAATCATGAAATGCATAAAGAACTTAAGTTTAATCATTAACGCAATGATATTTACTTTAAAAATTCTAAAAGAAAGTCAATCAAATGAGGTATACAGAAGAAATATATTTCAATAATAGTCGAACAAGATTGGTTGTTACCTTGCATGTAAGATGAGCCTATCTATTCTTTTAATGAGCACACTATGAAGGCAAGGTTTATATAATTGTTGTACTTTTGTAAGCACTTTAAGATTAGTATTCAATCTCAATGCTTGCCCTATTTAAAATAGTTTTGAACTTTGGAGTCATTATTTTCTTTCATTTTTTTTTTCTTTTTTCTTTTTTTCTTGGTACTGGGAATCGAACTTGGGACCTTGCGCTTGTGAGGCAGGTGGCAGAACCACTGAGCTAAATCCCCAGCTAGTGTCATCTTTTTCAAAATGAAGAACCAACTGTCTATACTTTCAATGTAATATACTTTGCAACTTAATATAAATACAAGTTTTGATTTGTATTCAAATACATACTATTCATATGTAATATATGAACCTATATAGCAACTATTTTAGTATAAAATTATAACTAATTTTTTAAAAAGCATAAGTACATAGCAATTTCATAGACTCCAAAAATGTTCCCTCCCAAATATGCAGAGAAGCAGGGACAATACTTAGTTTTTCTACCTGGATCTTCAACTGTACCCATAATAAAAAATGAATTAACTGACAATCTGAAGGGAAATAGGATAGGAATTCTTAGGTTTCGGCCTTATTAATTACACAACCTGTTTTATTTGAATGAGTGAATTTTACCAGTCAGTAGGTCAAGATGACACATTTTACTTTATGTGAGCCCACCTACTCCAATAATTCCTAAGCATCACAGAGACTTACAGATGGCAGATTTCTTCTGAAAAAATGAAAGAGAGGAGTTGCAAAATTGCAATGAATTCCTCAACTCTTACATTTACATTTTTCTTTCAAAATCTAAATGGATAATTATTTCAACATTGGTAACAATCCTTTGAGATATATTTTAAGGTTAAAAATGTTGCACTCTAGTTTCTTTTTCTTTTTTCTTTTTTTTGGTACTGGGGATCGAACTCGGGTCCTTGTTGCTTGCGAAGCAGGCGGTAGAACCACTGAGCTAAATCCCTGGCTCAAAAAATGTCACACTCTAAATGAATTTTTATAAATTTTAATAGTATTTCATTTCATGTGTAAAATGAGAATTAATTTCACATGAGAAACTTAATATTCTGTTTGTTCGGTATAAATGTCCACCCTGTACTCCATTCACTAGACCATACCTGGGGTATTTTTATCTGCTCTGTTTCAAGAAGCAAACTAAATGTACAATCACAATAGGACGCCAAAACAAAGTTATGTGATAATGGCTGAGAGGCTGGAGACAGTCCACCTGGAGAAGAATAACCATCCCTGATAACTGCATTATAAACTTTCAAAGTGCTTTTTTTTCAAAAGTAACTGGTCTTATGTTGCTCTTGGAGACCTAACCAAGAAAATGGTCGGAAGATACAGAGGCAAATTGTCACTTGACCTGAGGACAGGCCTCCAAACAGTTACAGCTGTCTGATGTGGCTTTGCATGCTTGCAGAGGAGGTGACCAGCCCTCTTGGGAAGCAGATGTGAGATCTCACTTTGTGTGGGCGGAGGTCAGACAGATGGGAATCTTCTTCCAAGAGCCTGGGTTCCTTTTTGGCAGACTCATTGCTGATGGCTTGTCTATCCGTTTTCTATTACTAGGTTTCCCTGTGGTCTCTGCTAGTGACGCTGGTGGCCCTTTTCATACTGACTGGCACCATGTTAGGGCCCGAACTGCTGGCAAGTATCCCTGCAGCTGTTTATGTGGTTGCCATTTTTATGCCTTTGGCCGGCTATGCCTCAGGCTATGGTTTAGCTACTCTCTTCCACCTCTCACCCAACTGCAAGAGGACTGTGTGCCTAGAAACAGGCAGTCAGAATGTGCAGCTCTGCACCGCCATCCTGAAACTGGCCTTCCCGCCTCGCTTCATAGGAAGCATGTACATGTTTCCCTTGCTTTATGCCCTTTTCCAGTCTGCGGAAGCAGGGATTTTTGTTTTAATATATAAAATGTATGGAAGTGAAATACTGCACAAGCGAGATCCCCTAGATGAAGATGAAGATACAGATATTTCTTATAAGAAACTAAAAGAAGAGGAAATGGCAGATACCTCCTATGGCACAGTGAAAACCGATAATTTAGTAATGATGGAAACCGCCCAGACTTCTCTCTAAATGTGGAAATACACAGGAGCTTCTATCTTGCTGAAATACTAATTCATATTTATGGCCTCTGGTAGTGTATATGGTTTACATAAAGGATAATAGTTGGTTTGCTTTACATGTAACACTTTTGATCTTTCCATTGTAAAGTTGCACTGGTGTAGTAAACAAGTGTTTTCCTAGATTTAAATCAATGTCAGTATAATTTACATCTGCGTCAGCTTGTGAAGCTCCATCTGGTTCAATATGCTTTTTGGTTTTTGCCATTACCAATTTCTATGACTGCTTCACAGATAGAGACTACTGTATTAGAAAACAGGGTCTGGAAATGTAGTTTCAGTGCACTGTGTTATCTGAGTAAAGACAAGCTATCTGTAAAGCATAATTGAGTTTACTGTAAAACAGAAAAGTGTGTTCTCGCTCAACTTGTAAAACACTTGATGATGCTGAATTGTGACCTATACTCAGAAAAATCCCAAACAGGTCAGCGACACAGTGAAATATAGTATTTTATTGTCAACCCAGTAACAAATTACAGAAAGAAATATATTGATGTATTTGATTACTTGATCTGACATCTGTTTATTGCAAATGAACCACTAACATTTTCCCAGTGAATAAATAAGGCGATTTCTTTGCAAAATTGGTCTCCTGCATTTATGTAAACACATTTGTAAACAAGTCAGTCTATCTCTGGAGGAAGAGGTTTGTTTAGGAAATCGGGTAGAGCTAGCATTTACCTAAGAAGAGCGGACTGGTGCCTCCTGGTGACCCTTGATGGGGTGGGTCCAGGGGAGAAAGCAATTAGCCTAGAAGTGGGGGCCCTGGGCTTCCTCGTGTGTTTACTGAAAGGGTCAGCAGGCAGATGTCTCTGAGCAGCTCTGAGAAAGCTGAACCCTAATTGGAGATACCGCATAGTAGGCCCAAGCAGTTCGCAAAGCTGGGCACTTTGCCCACCAGCCTAGCTCCGGGCCTCGCTCGCCCCTTCCGGCGGCGCAGACACCTGGAGCCCGGGGGCTGCGAAGACCGCGTGGCACAGCTGAGCCCGCTTCCAACTCTCACCGACTTCTCCGAACGTCGGCGCCTTCACGTACAAATCGGGGCTTAACTCGCAAAGAAAGCGCTCGTTGGGACCCTCTGGGGTTGCCTGTGCCCACCTCCGCCGTGAGGGACCTGCGCGGGGATCGAGGAAGCGGGCGCGAAAGGCGGAGGGTG